TCTTATGTTAACCCCTTCTTTTCCTTTCATTCAGTTTTGTTACAGTTCTGTGATTTGTCCCTGACAATACATCAAGGAGAGCGGGAAATGGGGAACAGTAAATAGTTCTCTGAGCACTGGACTCCAAACAGCCTGTTTTCCCCTGGATTTGTACCTTGTGGGCCACAGATAAAGTTATTTATGCAAAGTGGCGCATTTGTAAGGAATTCTTACCAAGTGTTTCTCTACTGCCAAAACACTTGTAGCTTTTCCTGCTGTGGAGGGAGAAAGAGGGAGAAAGAGAAGATGTTTTGTGAGATGGTCTGTCTCTTCCTACCTCTGCCTGTGGAAGAGAAGGGAGAGTACCTCTTAGAAACCACATGGAAATTGTAGTAACTTTAAGGATTTTTTTCTAACAGGCTGGGGCACAAACGTCTGGAGGAGGTGGAAATTTTGGTCATGCAGAAGGCTAGCTTTCCTCTGGTCACCAGTCTCTTCCCAGAGGTCTCTGCAGAGACATCCAACCAGTGCAGCCCCCCGAGGTGACATCCCTGGTGCAAGACCTGCCGCAGCTTGAAGGCAGGGACAGCGTGATTTGCAAGCACATGCTCCTGCAGCAGCATTAGTGCTTCAACTGGCATGGCAGTTGTCATAACAAGTACCAACACAACTGCTGACTTAAGAGTAACAGGAAAAACATGTCCTTTTGAAGTCTGTCCTGATCTGTAAGGAGAGGAGGGTATTACCTGTAGTTTCACAAGCTGCACTAATGCTCCTTTTTTTCTGCACAAGCAGCAGTAAAGCCATCAGATGGGTAAAATCACTGACCTAGGAGCTCGGCACCTCAGCAAAGAAGTGTCTTTGAACACCAGTGAGACATTGTACAGAGATGAGATGTGTGCAGAACCTACTGAGGAAGAGTATAAAACAGTAGCATGACCCAAATCTGGCAGGCCAGGGCAAAAAGTGAGATCTCATTAAAAACGGATGTGACGAGGTAACATTCGCTATAAGGACACTAATGGTTAAGAGACAGAATCATCCCACTCATATACAGGGAGGGAAAACAAACTGTAGGTTGAAGTGAGGAGGCCAGGATGCTTAGCAACATTTTGCTTCAGTCATCACTGAAAACATTAATCACGCAGGGGACAAAGTATGTGGCTGATGTTGAAGGGAGTGAACACTAGAGGTGGAGTTAAATAAGCGACTGTTAATCCCTCTTACTAAATTACTGTCTTACTGTCCCTTTGCTGAGGTGCAGGACCTGACTCCATACGTGTTACTTGTCCACTGCAGTTCAAGTTAAACAAGTTTGCTTAAGTCACTCCTCACAGGGGTCATAGTGCTATGGAAAAAAATTCTCCCCATGGTGTGTTTAACAGGGAGGAGACGGCACTTGAAGTAGTTTTGCATGCAACTTCCCATTGGTGAGGGTGCAGTGTCAGGCCAGGCTTTCCTTACCACCCTTCAAGAGAAAAGTTGACAAATTGGAACAAACCCAGAGCAAAGTGGGAACAATCAGACATCTGGAAAACATGGTGTATGGGCTGTGTAGTGTGGGAAACAGGAAGATTGGGTGGAGATGGGAATCACAGGCTTCAATGATTTTAGGGAACTCTGTGAAAAGGAATGGAATCAAATTTTCTTCGTACCTACAGGGGCTTAACCTGTAGGAAAGGAGAATTAAGAAACATTTCAACTCTAAGGTGACGGTTAAGTGCTGGGATCAGTTGCCTACTGAGGATCTGGAGTCAATTAGACACAGGCATTGCTTGGGCCAGTGTTCAAATGACACAAAGGACAAACCAGGACACCAAGGATCAATTTGGACATTCCTTCTATTTCTCAAAGCTCCAACAAATTACATGAGCAAGATTAATGCAGAATAAAGTGTTTCTGTACCATGTCTCCCTTGACCTAAGAAGGCAGTGCAAGCAGTGAACAGATGCACTCAGAGTAGCGTTAGCAACAAAGGTAACAGATGACAAGTGACAAGGGTTGGCTTAGATTTGCAAAAGCAGACCTTCTGTTCAGCCTTTCTGCCCTTTCCTGTTTTCAGCTAAGTCTGATCCAGATTTCTGTTAGAACCACTCTTGTGACCACACCTAAGTAAATTTAATTATTTCTTACCCCTGCCATAGAGACACAACTTTCTATTCTTCACTGTATCCTCAAAATAATGGTACTTGCATTTATGATTCAGCAGATTTCTATCTCTACTGCCTCTGGTTCTGCTTTATTTCTGCCAGGCTGTTCGTGTTAAAGATTTGGGTTTTCATTCTTAATATTTGTGTTAACCAGTACTGCACCATCACTGAAAGTTTTTAAGAGCAAAGTAGACAAGCATCTGTCACAGAAGGCTTAGATACAGCTGATTATTTTGAGATAAGACTATGTAAAGTAAAAAGATCTCATGAGGTTGCTTTTTATCGTTTTCCATCTTTTTCAGAATCTTTGTTAATGAAAGCGTATTTTATAATGCCTAACAGCTTTGGAGCTTTGCAAGAGTCACTGAGTGATTTTATTAGCTATACAGAAGGGGATGAGGCTCCTCCTAAAGGTGATTTCGCTGCTCTGCAAGGCTATGCAGAAGCTGGGAACATTTTTTGGTACTAATTAAAATCCTCTGTAATTGGCTGGAAATGGTTCTGTGGCCATCAAAGATTCCCATGTTGAAAGCCTTGTTTGAAAAAAAGACTAACCGTTCACTGCAGTGAACCATCTGACCCAGAAAAAATGTTCTTTATTATGAGATTTCACGGGTGGATATTTTGTTTTATTTTGTTCTTTTTGGTTTTCAATGATTTTAACAATAGGATCAAGACAGTGTTGATGGATGGGCGCATGCTGTATAGATGGGAAAAAATACCCAGCAAAGAGTATTTCAGTGGTGTGAAATTCTTCGAACACAAATTTAAATTTAGACAGTTTATAGTTAGACAGGTTATTAAAATCAAAAGGTCAGGCTTTGCCCTCATTTATCCCCTTTGCAATGCTGCATGTGTGAATGAATTGCAGATATTTGTGGGCAGCATTTAGCTGAAAGCAGACTTATTGAGAGCTACATTGTGATGGCGGTAATGAAAAGCAGAAATGTTGCCCATGAGATTCATTATTGAAGACAATGTACTGGAAAATGAATATTTGTTTATTCTGATCATGCCAAGGATAACCTTTTCTTTTACATTTCAAAAGTTGCAACTTCAGAAATGTATAAGCTCCAAATAAAACTAAATCACTGTTACTTTTTTGTTGTTTATGACATCTTTACAGTTTGTTATTTTTTAGTGATACTCCCTACAGGAAGAAAAGAAAATATTATTTGCAAAGAAATATGACTTTTTATTTTATAAGCATTTAAATTTTATTCTATGAGGCTTTTCTCCACAAAATGAGAGGCTATCAAGTATGGAATTGTCCCATAGCTGCACAGCAATGTTATGATTTTTACAGCAGATCTTGAAGACCTTCAAACTCCAGGCAACACTCCAGAACTACTGACCCCCAGACTGAACTGTGAACACACGCTTCTTTGTAGCTGCACTAATTAATTACAAAAGCAGATTTTTAAAATCTTCTTGAGCAAGGACT